ATAAGTTTAGGAAAACTTCTCTATAGATCAAGAGAGAGAGAGAGATGAGTTGAAGCTCAAACACCAAAGGATGATCTCTTCTTCCTCTTGTGAAATTATCTTCACAAAACCGAAACGTTGAAACAAGGCTTTAAACACCTTTAAACAAACTTAAACCCTTGTTAACCTTGATTAAAACATTTTCTTGGATCAAAGAAGAGCTGAAGGCAATAGGGTATTTATACCCACTCAAAACTTCAGCAAAAACCCTAAGGAAAAGACCAAAAACTCATAAACAAACAAATCAGAAAACTAACTGTTACTGTTAAATATCAAAACAAATACATACATACATATATATATATATATATACATACATATATATATATATATATATATTAGCCGTTACTATGCAATGGCTCTCTCATAAGTCGACTTATGAGTCGACTCATGAGTCAACTTATGAGTCGACTAATGAGTCGGCTTATATGAGTCAACTCAGCAGAAGAAAAATCATAAATACGCTGCACTTCGTGAGTCGACTTATGAGTCGACTAGACATGCACAGACCTGAAGTGCACAGAAAAACTCAACTTTAAACTGGGTTTAAAAATATCAAATAAATTCAGAAAAATATAAAACTTTGAGAAATTATTGTAGGCATGATAATACACATGCTACAAAAACTGGTTTTCTAAAAGGACTTCCCAAAGGTAAAATATCATCATTTTGCAAAATAGTCCAAAACATGAAAATGTAAACACATGAGTTTTGACATTTTATATTAATTATGTTTTGAAACATTACAAAATGAATATATAGACTTAATAGAAGGTGTATATCATTATTATTAAGTCCATATACAAAGAAACCAATATTTTCACAAAAATACTTGTTTTGCAAACTTTCAAAACAGCAAACATGATTTCATTGAACTAAATAAAATTAATATTGATGAAATCATATGTAAGCATATAAACATGAAACAAAAATGTATTTTCTAATTATATTCAATTGTTTCATATTTAAACATGAAAAACCAAAACAATAAATGTGAAAGATGTAAATTCATATTTATAAAACTTGGAAACCAAAATATGTATGTATATATGAAACTATATATACATGGAAACCAAAGCTAAATTGTGTATAAACCTAAACTAATGTTACCCAAGCTTGATCTTGATCTTCATTGTAGCTCAACTTGGTAAACTTGAATGAAGCTTGTAATTGGATCCTTAACTTGATAGCAAGGTTTCACTCCACTATTTCACCAACCTTCATTTGATATGATCATTATGGCACAATCCATCCATCCTCCAACTTATTATTTGTCTACAATAAATAACAAAATACAAACACTAGATAAACAATATTAGATGTAAATTATTTGTTAAATCATCATCAAAACAAAAAGGCCAACAATCTCCCTCTTTTTGATGATGACAAATAATTTACAAAAAAGATATATGCATGAATAAAAATAAATATATAAATTATAATTCACATGCATATAAACAAGAAAATGTATACTCACAATATTTCTCCCCCTTTAACAACATCAAAAAGGGGAAAATAACAAGAAAAGAGAGAGCGAAAGCTCCCCTATCAATTTGTATGAGTGAGTATAAAACAAGTATAGGGAATAGCTCCCCCTATCAAAATGCCATATAGACTATATGAAAGAACAAATTTTCACTGTAGCCACATTTTGAATTTTTATTAGCAAAATCGACTGTATCATGTTTTATTTACCGAAATCGACCCGTTTTCTCGCCACGTCAGCGTCGTGGCGAGAAAGCGGGTCGATTTTTTTTTTAATCGGCTTCGTAAACAGTCGGGGTTGCCAACCCCGACTGTTTAGTCTATCGTCCGCTAAGAGGTTAACTAAATGGTCGGGGTTGGGAACCCCGACCAATTCGTAATAGACCTATTTCGAATTGGTCGGGGTTCCCAACCCCAACCATTTAGCAGAGCCCAGCAACCGCTGGGCTCAATCAGGGACGAAATGGTCGGGGTTGTCAACCCCGACCAATTCGAAGCCCATTTTGCCCAGGCCAAAAGTAGTCGGGGTTGGGAAACCCGACTACTTTCTGGGCCCATATAAAAGCCACCGAACCCACCGAAGCCACCGAACCCTTATTCCATTTCTTTCTCCGCCTCCCTCTTCTCTCTTCCGTCCACGTTCTCACGAAACCAAGCCTCAGATCTGAGGTTTCTTCGGCCGAAATTCAAATCAAAGGTTATCTAAACTGATTTAGGTAATTTCTTCTACTCCTCTCCTCTTTTAACATGTAAAAATCTAGGATTTTTTCTTAAAAATAAATTTCTAGGGTTTTCATTCATAAATGAATTTAGTGGGTTTTATCGCTGAAATTCGTTTGTATGATGATTGTTATTAATGTAATTAACTTTTAGGGCATAGAATGTTCAATTGTTGAATTTTAGGGTTTAGGATTTACAATTTGGGAATTAGGGTTTTTGGTTGAAATTATGTGAGATTATTTGCATATTAATTTAATTTTTTATATTTAAATGATATAATTTTTTTTTGAATAGGTTGAGCAATATGATTTTTATTGCTTGTTCTTATGGTGGACAAATTAATTATGGGATGAATAATATGCCAATGTATGTCGGAGGGGTAACGACACCATTAATGATCTCGGAATCATATAGTTACTACGACTTGGTTATGGAATTACACCGAGTTACAGAAATTGACCCACGAGAATACCGATTGAAAATTATATGCAATTGGCCCATAGCTATTGATAGAATATCCGCAGTGGAGATCTCGAACGATTATCATATGAGTATTATGTTTAAATTGGGTATGTCGCAACAAACGATAGAATTGTTTATTGAAAAGTTGCCACATAATTCGTGCCAAATATTCAAACCTCCAGGAGAATTCTCACGCATGTTAGATATGGGAGTTTATTCCGATGGGTTTCTTTCTTCTTCAAGTGAAATGGAGCGGGCTCAATTCGGTGAAACGTCAAATGTCATGAATAACGAAGTCTCTTATGGAAATATGGGGAGGTTAAGTGGGGCAACAATTGAAGAGGATGAAATAAGCAATGACTCGGATAATGAAGTTGATAGCATGCAATTTGTTACCCAAGATGTCGAAGATAATCCGGAATGGCCTGATGAGGCTTACGTTAATAATGACTATGTTGAGTACGAAGAACCACCCCCCGACGAGTTTGAAGATGATGAGTGGATTCGTTCTTCCGCAGTAAAAGATATGTGTATCGGTGAAAGTTCAATTCGTAGAGGAGATGATGACGCCCCCTTTAAAGTTGGTGATTTATTCGAGACTAAGGACCAGTTGGTTGATGCTATTCGTGAATACTCTTTCGAAAAGAATTTTAAGTTCAAGCAAGTTAAAAGCAATCGCACAAGTTATGATGCAATATGTTTTATGAACACACAAAGAACAGGTCTGACCGAGGGAAATGAAGCTGATTACTCATGTCCTTGGAAGTTATATGCATTTGCAGGAAAGAAACACAATTTTCAATTTAGGATCAGTGAATACTGCGGTGTTCACACATGTGTCAATCCAATATTAGAGCAAGATCACAGTGGTGCATCTGCCTCTTACATAGCGCGGTTGATTATGCCAAAATTAAGGAAGAAGCTTGATCTAACGCCCGATAATATAATTGAGAAAGTGCTTGATACCAAGTTCATTAAAATCTCATATATTAAAGCATGGAATGCAAGGAGAATTGCGATGATAAAAATATTTGGTGATTGGGACAAGTCTTACGCGACACTAGCTCAATATCTTGATGCGATCAAAAGAAGTAATCCTGGATCTGAATACAAACTCATAACCAAAGAGATCGATCCGGGAGTTCATCAATTCACCTCTGTTTTTTGGGTATTTGGGCCTTCGATTGAGGGGTTTAAATTTTGTCGGCCTATTCTTAGCATTGATGGCACACACTTATACGGTAAATACAAGGGTGTACTGCTTGTTGCTACAGGAGTTGATGCAGATGGTGGCTTATTTCCTTTGGCCTTCGCCGTTGTGGAGGTCGAGAACAGTGAAAATTGGGAGTGGTTTTTTTCTTGCATTCAATTATATATTTTTAATGTGTTGCCTCCTAGAAAAATTACTTTCATATCTGATAGGATGAAAGGTATTCCAAAAGCATTGTGGAGGAGATTTGGCTCTCATCACCATCATCGCTATTGCTTACGACACATTAGAGCTAACTTCAAAAAGAGCTTTAGTCAGATTCATTTACAAAACCTTCTGTGGCAAGCGGGTTGTACGCCGGAAACATATGTGTATGATCGGATACGCGATCAAATCAAGGCAACATCTCAAGCTGCACATGATTGGATTGAGAGAAGTCTGGGCAGTGATTACGTCGACCGGTGGGCACTTAGTAAAGATGGAGGGAATCGGTTCTGCATGATGACAACCAATTGTTCTGAAAGCTTCAACGGGGTACTTAAGGGGGCTCGGGCAATGCCCATACAGGCGTTGGTTGCGAGGACATTTTATAGGCTCAATTACTATTTTGTCAAGCGGCGAGAGGATGGAGCAATGTGGGCCTCGTTCTTGACACCAAAAAATGAGGCGATTTTAGAGGCTCGAGTTAAGCAGGCGAGAGGCACGAAGATTGTTAGATTTGCTGTAGATGAATGGGAGGTTACAGACAAACATGGTCACAATTACACCGTCAATTTGGGAGGTGCACATTGCACATGCACCTGTAACATACCAGAATTGCAAAAATTGCCTTGTCCACATGTCATAGCGGTTACGTCCAAGCAATCGGGGGGTGCAAATATTTCGTATTACACATACGCTTCTGAGTGGTATCAATCAAGCAACTATAGAGAGGCATATAAGCAGTGTTTCCACCCCGTACATGATAGTCGTTATTGGCCACACTATAACGGGCCGCATGTGGTGCCTCCAAGCTATAAGAGACAAGCCGGACGCCCACGATCAGTACGCTTAAAAGGTACTATGGATGAAGGCCGGGAAGGAGCTCCGAAAAAAAATAGATGTGGATATTGCAGACAAGCCGGGCATAGAAGATCTCATTGCCCGACCAATCCAAATAGATAGCAATTAATGGGTACAATTTTATACATTTGTAAATCAATGCTTATAGTAAAATCAATGCTTATAGTCAAACAATGCTTATAAATCAATGCTTATAGTAAAATCAATTTTTTTCTAACTCAATTATAGATCAATTAATGTATCATCGTTATATGTGCAGATATTTCAGTTATGGAGGCGGGTCCATTGACACGTGATGTTCTTTATGACCAAGAGCGCCACCGATCCGCGAAGATAGACGCTGGGGAGGTAAAGTGCAATTTTATTATTTTCAATTATATATAAATTTCAATGTAGTTGATTGTTACTGAACATTTGCACTGTTTACTACATGCAGGCCCCGAGTATTACTATTGTCGATCATACCCGTGCACATTCTAGCTGGGAGTTGACGGATCCACAGATACAATATTATGTGCGTCAAGCCGGCTTTTTTGAGTGTTCACAAATTAAATGGGTAAGACTTGATTGGGCACTTTTGACGGCATTGGTTGAACGATGGAGGCCCGAGACAAATACTTTCCATCTGCGCCAAGGAGAGGCGACGATTACCTTACAGGATGTTGGGGTTATACTTGGCCTCAGAGTAGATGGTGATGCAGTGACGGGCACCGATGACTTCCACTATGGCACTACGTGTGAAGAATTGTTGGGTCACACTCCTACAATGAAGGGGGGAAAGATCAAACTCGAATGGTTAAGGAATAACTTTCAGAATGTACCGATCGATGCGACTGATGAGATCATTAAGCGCTATGCCCGTGCATATATTTTACATATGATCGGTACTATTCTGTTTCCGGATTCCACTAAGGATTCCGTGCACGTGAGATGGTTACCGCTTCTTGGGGACCTAGAAGAGTGTGGAGAGTTATCTTGGGGGAGTGCAGTGTTAGCCTACTTGTATAGAGAGATGACGAAAATAGCACTCGTACAAAATAAAGAATTGAAGGGCTGCCTCACTTTGCTGCAGATATGGTCATGGGAGCGATTGCATATGGGAACACCTGATTTGAGGGAGGCCCGCGCTCTCGATGGGCATATTCCGTTAGGCTGCAGGTATTATTAAGATGCATGTAATTTTAGTGCTTTATTTCAATATATACTAACCCGTTGTATATAAAATAGATGGAATGTGTCCAGATCTTGGCAAACCTCTCCAAAGGGGCATGAAAACTTTTACAGAAATGAGCTTGATCAGATGGAGGATGAACAGGTATAAAAATTATAATATCTAAATATATTCAATTATGCGACCAATTGTTACCAATATCTAAATATATTCATTCAATATCTCATAATATCTTCTTTATAGGTCAAATGGATGCCCTACGAGCTAGTGTTGGAGTCACTACCGGATATTTGCCGAGAAGGTGAGGATGTATGGCGTGCTCGCGTCCCCCTTATATGCTTTGAGATTGTCGAAATGCACTTGCCTGACCGTGTGCTTCGACAATTTGGACTACGGCAACATATTCCAGCGCCTGTGGAGAGAATAGAGAGAGATCCAAGAAAAGGTGCACATCGTGCTAATTGGCAAATAATTCGCCAAAATTACATCCATAGGTGGGTTTTAAGGGAGGAACAGGTAGTGATGGAGAGGGCTGATGCACCTGACCTAGGTGTGTACCTACGGTGGTATTGGGGGATTACTCGCCGGTGGATATTTCAGGAAAACAAAGCCCCGAAGGAGTACATACCAAGAGGCCCAGTCGAGAGAGAGTTGGTAAGTGTATAAGAAAAATATACAATTATTTTCTGAGTTTTATTTTCTCACCATCCACTTGATAATAATTTTCTTTCGGTTTTTATTTTATAGGTACAAGAGCTCGAAGAGCTTTCCGGAATGGCACATGACGCATTGCGCACGACTACCGAGCAGGAGCCGAGGAACATGTTCCTTCGAATGATAAAAAAGATACGGTCGGCTCTTCAGAGGACGCGTCATGCAAGCCGTGATGGACGGGAGGAGCGACCAATTGAGTATGGGCGGCGACGTCGACGAGATCACACGGGGGCGGGATCAAGCTGTGCGCATGAGCCCCTGGGTTCACACAAGGCTGCAGTCCAAGGTGAAACCAAGAATGTCAAACCTGCTATGCACCACACCGTGCAATAACATGTTTCACCATCACAATTAACATCTGTCTAGTAGAGTCAACAACTGGTGTGGGTACAAAACAGGCAAAAGATAATATAAGACATACTGATGAAGTGATAGTGATCACATTAATATCTCATCATCCAACATACAGAAATACATAGTCAATATCTGAATAGATAACTGGAATACTCAACAAGTCTCAAATACAAATGTCTGACAAGAGGAAATAAGGCACACCGCCTTTACAACTTCTAGAATAAGACTCTCAAATACCTAAACAAAAAGTCTACTGTGGAACTCCAAAAGTAAATATATCTAAGTAAATAGACGGCTGAAGCTAAAATGCATCGCCATCAACCTGTGACTCTTCGGGCTCCTGGCTCGTTAGCTGAAAGGGGGAGGGACAACGAGCGTCAAAGCGCTAGCGAGTAACATCACAACCAACCCCAAGGAAACAGGGCTCGTTGCATAAGAAAAGTGCGACCCTCCGGGCTCCTGGCTCGTTACCTGAAAGGGGGAGGGACAACGAGCGTCAAAGCGCTAGCGAGCAACATCACAACCAACCCCAAGGGAACAGGGCTCGTTGTATAAGAAAATACAGTTAATACATAATAGATCTAAAATCATTGATCTTACTAAAGAGGATTTTAGTATTTAGAAATTTACAACACGAGCATAGGTACGTCGAGCGAAATAATCCAAACAAGGAAACCCTCATGTATATACCTTGTATCTCAAATTGTAAATCCCTAAACACCAAACCCGAGGTTCTAGTACAGGAACAATAATAAAAGAAACACAACTAATCTCAGAGCATAAGTACAGTGCCATGTCATAGCTTACATGAGCATCATGTTATTACTTACATGTATGTCACGTTATAATCTACATAAGTGTCATGTCATAAACTCTTGTGAGAAAGTCATATACAGGGTTAAGAAATATGTCCGACACAGGAACTAAATACTGTGGTTTCCAAACACATGGAATAAGGAATGTCAAATGTCCAACACGAGGACTGAAATGGATTATAGTCCAACACGAGGACTTGTATGGATTATAGTCCAACACGAGGACTGTGTGACTGTGAAAAGCATATGCGGACAGATATACATAATCTAAACTCACACGCATCTCGGTGTACATGTCTAAACTTGTGTCAAAAGTCAACCCACATATACAGATAAGTCATTAACATGGTAAACTAGGGTCAGGTTATCGAGGAGACCCCGAAAAGCAACTCAAACAGATCAAAAATCTGTAAAACAGCTCATCAGTCGACTGATGTGCCGACTGATGACATCAGTCGACTCATATGTCGACCGATAAGGCTCAGGCAGCACAGCCTCAGCTCACCAGTCGACTGATATGTCGACTGAGAAGCTGAGAAAACACAATCAGCCCGTCAGTCGACTGATCAGTCGACTGATGACTGAAAATTTCAGCCCGTCGGTCGACTGATCAGTCGACCGATTGACTGCAGAGATTCTGCACAGGTTATTTTTCACCTAAACTTTGATCCAAACTCATCTCCATCAATCCCAAGCATGAAAAATACTGATATCAACATATTTGCACTAAACTGGAAAGAAAGATCACATATAAACATTTATCAAAAATCCTTAAACACATAAAAACATGTTTAATACGTTTTGAAATCAATAAATCATGAAATAACTCTTGTCAAACGTTTTTCAGATCTAGATCCCTTTAGTAAAACATTGTTGGTCTTTTTATAAACTGAGATGCTCAATACCTCACCTCATATGCCATAAAGATTTGTTCTTTGTACTAAAAATACGTTTTTGGCTAAATCAAAACTCATTAAACTCAATAAATTCGTGTAAAACAAAAGGGACAGAGTTGAGTGAGATGTTACTCGCCTCTGGATGATGGACAATTCCTGGATCTGAGAGAGTGAGGATCCCCTTGCTGTAATGTGAAGATTTCGCCGAAAATCCTCCAAGTTCTTCCCCAAATCACCAAGAACAAGACTAGGATTTGAGATAGGGGAGAGGGGGCTAGGGTTTTCTCAGGTCTGAAGGTGAGAGGGGAGATTTCGGGTGAGAGGGGAAATATACGAACAGTTAAACCCGACCCAAACCCGAACCAAATCAAAGCAGACCCGAAACCTAAAAAACTGGAAATCAGAGTATCAGTCGACTGATGTGTCGACCGATACAGTCAGTCGACTGATGTGTCGACTGATCTAGAAAAATTCAGTTTTTTGTGCATGTTTTGCTTATTTGCAAAACCAACGCACAAAACTCTACACCCATACTCTCATATCATCTCAAATAACTTGTTATTATGTACATCAATGACCTCAAGCTATTTATCATAAAAGAATTATTTATTTACTAATAATTCACATATATTTATATAAAAATTACGGGGTTCTACATGCTGTTGCTCAAAATCGAGCTAAACAAACATTGTGAGAGTCATCTATGTTAGACCCTAGAGGGGGGGGTGATTAGGGTCTTATGCTAATCTAATCCGATTAAATACCAATTAAAACTAATTAATAAGTTATCCTAGCAAGTATGAAATACAACAATATATGTAAGCTAGGATAAGCAATATGAACAATAAGATATATCCTATATGATGAAATATATATGCAAGGATATATAAACTAACACAAGGGTAAACAATATGAACTAGATAGTGGATGATATAGATAATGAGCTAATGACAATGGCGATATAAGATATGAACATAAAAATGAATGAACGCCAAAGCACACTCAAACAAGCAATATGATCACGGAGTTCGGACCTTCCGTCCTACGTCTCCGCTCCCCACTCCCGGGGAGAAATCCACTAACACAATCCGGTTTGGAAGCCGGAACTTCTTCTACACACTCGGTTTTCTAGCTAACCGAAAACTCTACAACTCACACTCTTGCAATCACACTCTACACCCACTAAGTGTTGGACCTAGCCGTGTCTCCCTCAAGTGCTCGGTTACAACCTCTCTCTAGGCACGTCAACCGACGCCACTCCCCTTGGGACGATCCCCGACTCTCACCACACACTCCTCACTCGGTGTACAAGTGTATTACAAAGTGATTCTCACAATAAGCACAAATATAACAATTGATTGTTCTCAAAATAAGGTGAGAACTCAATTAAGCACAACTCTTAGTCACAAACCCACAACCCCAATGTTTATAGGGTAGGGTTAGGATTTTCTTTAGCTGGCTATTTTAGAGGAGGAGAGAGAGAGAGAGACATGTACTTGATTGGAGGGTTGGTTTAGGAAGGAAATCAAAAAAGATGGGGAGTGATTAGGGGATTGATTGGGGAAAATTGGAAGGAATTCAAATTCAAATTAGAGGAAAAATAAGAGAGGGAAAAATAAATTCGAAATTTCATATAATATCTGAATTATATTAATAATTAATAATCAACTAAAAATCTTTTTATTAATATTTATATACTAATGTACTATACTCAAGTTTACATCAATAATAACAAAGTCATTAATAATATTAATCACCAAATGATTATATATAAAAATCACTAAACCGAAAATTAATATTTAGCAGAATTAAAAATACAAGACTATATATTTTATTATTTTTTTATTTTGAAAACTCAGAAAATTCCAGAAATTAAGAAAAGTATTAATAAAATATAATATATTATTTTAAATACTAGAAAAATTTATTTAAATACGTATCAAAATTCACGGTTGTTACACTATTTGTAACTGAGAGAGCTTTTCTTAAACATCAAACAACATTATGGATCAATCAAATCAAAAAATTCAGTTTATATAATAAAACATACCTTTGTTTTGGTTCTCAATTCCAAATTCACAATTCTAACAAGTTCTTGATCTTGCAGGGCTCCTTATTGGCTTTCGTATACTATGATGTTGAGGTTGTTGGCTATCTGTAATTAATTAAAAAATAAAAAAATATTTTTTTCTAACAATCAACCCAAATTGTTTTTTTATAAGGTCTAATTTTAACCTGGTTATAAAGGTACACACCCTTCTGTTCAATTGTGACCATTCGCTAGCTTCTGCATTATCTTTTGTAGGCTCACCGACAACTGATCTTGTGATTCTGGTTGCAAATTTGAAACCTAGGATAAATTCAAAGGTAAAGTTGTAAGTTTTTATGCGAGATTTGATATCTGTTGATTATGAGAGATGAGAAAATTGTGAAGAATGAGAGATTGCAAGTGATTACATTCGAGTGGCTCGAGCTTCAGTAGCAA